GACTATAGTAGTTTATATGTATCTTATATATTTGACAGATCAATGATCAATTGAACCAATGTTTGCAATTTATTCCAGATAAAACTTGTAAAGAAAAACTGCTGCCATTGTTACAAGCCATTTACGATCCACTAATCAGTTACATTTCGAAGTACGCAGCGTACGAGCAGGCCAGTCTTATGCAAAAACTGTCGTCAGTTAAATGCATTAAAGATGAACTTCCCGACACTATTCAAGCGTTGGGGTTGTCCGTCTCCACAATTACAGATGCTGCACAGGACGCAAAGACTAGGTGCAAGAATATCACTGAAAATTGCGGATATTGTGGGCTTTTAATTGCGCTGAGAGCATTTTTCTTAAACTATAGCGACCAGTATAAGATTACGCTGAGGCAAATAGAAAGAAGTAGGGGAACAAAAGAAGATTGGAATCTATTTCAGTTATGTTTATCTTTACTTCAGAACACTGGTGACGTGTTGCTGCATTTGCAAAAGTTTGAAAAGGAATTAACTTCTACGATATTGGAATTAAATGAGAGCGACAGTGGGATTGAATATAAGCATTTATTATTGGATTCATCCGAAAGGAGAGAATATGAGGCGTTGGTGAAGTGTGTGATGGAAGGCACCGAATTAGCTTTGTTGGATCATGTTACAGTGGAGTTTGGCAAATTGTGCATCGATATTCATCATGCTATGTATGAAGTCGTTTTTGCGCCGATATCTGTACATTTGCAAGTTTTGCAACTTCCAAAGACTTGGTCACATATACAGGAATCTTTTTCAGGCAATTTAGATCTTCCCGATTATAGTTTCTCCCCTCAAGAATACATCACACAGGTAATAAATTATGAGTGGACGAAGGATGTGTAAATCGTGTTCTATTACAGATTGGCCAGTATCTCATGACCTTACCCCAACATTTGGAACCTTTTTTATTTAGAGAAAATCCAGCATTGTCCTGTGCTTTGAGGGCAGCTGACGAAGAATACAATAACGCAGATAGTGTAGAGGGTGCACTAGCAGATGTTTTGCTTAGCATTATTGCAAAAGGATTGTGTCAAGCATACTGTGATCAAATTTTGAGTATATGCGAGTTGAATAATATAGCCAGCCGACAGCTAGCGCATGATATTGGTAATATAACATTTATAAGATATCAGATTAACCTTGACTTGCAGGTTATTTAGCCAATGTCTTGGAAGATTTAGGACTCCATTTGTCAGATACCTTAAAACAGTTGATCACTTTGCTGAAGCTACCTGCAGATCAGTATCAGACTCAAAGTTCTGGATATTCCGCAAGATATGTCGCTGCAATTAGACAAATAAGGAACATTACGTCAATAGATAAACATGCAAAAGGGCATACATAAAATATTAAAAAATGTAGCATTATGAGTTGCATTCAATATAAATAGAATTTTTCTAAAATTATTTTCTTTTGGAATATGCTACGGTCTATTTAATTCTAAGATGACTCATGCATACAAAACTTAAAACATTTTAGAATTAAAAAGAATCCAATGTATTGTTACTCTATTTTCGAAAAGTACCACAACAAACTGGGTAACAGCATTGTTTAATTATTTCACGCAGTGGTACCACGCATTATTTAAATTTAAACAATGGTACCAGATTATTCACAACATTTTGAATCATTTTATAACAGGTTTTGCAGTTGTTTGTGTAGATAGATTTTTTTTAATAAGACACAAATTGAAAAATGACAGCCATAAATGGGATATTATAAAAATAAATGTGGATTATTATGGGATAGTGGGGAGGGCGGCCCCATCTTCATAGGCATACGCTTCCATTTGTGGCGGGTACCACGGATACACATGCTGGTGGCTCTGATTCGCATACAACCAAGTTTATTCTTGTCGCGCGGAGAACCTCCCTCACCATACCTTCTGTCAATTACTATTTCACTTGTTTCCTTCTTTTGGAGTTACTTCATTGCATTTAATTTACTATTATACGGTATTCATTTTAATAAGGTAGCGCTAGAACGCATATGGAAGCTTTGACCTTCACTGTGATTGGTTAAAACACGAGTCAGTGTTACGCTTAAACATAAAGCGACTGGCAAATTTTGTAAGCTGGTAGTTTATGTTGCCAATTAAACTGACGAAGTGTCATTGGCTGTTAATGTGAAACATTTCTGTTCGCAGTGCTGGATATTTCTACTTTACAATAATTTCGTGCCGTTTTATATTTTTACTGTGTGTTTATCTTCAAACATAGCGCCATCTACTACCTTCTTATAATGAATGCAGTATAGTACTGTTTAAGACTTTAAATTCGATTGTTTTTGTTTTCAACACCAAGGTATACACTTCCGATTCCGATAAACCAAATTTAAAAACTTAGCATCCGACTTCGGGTTTCAATATAACCACTTCCGTAACATCCTACTAGAGAGAATAAAGTGTCAGGTCAAGGTTGCCTGCAACGCGGTGTGGAAACTTGATTTTGCCCAATGACTAAAGCGGTGCTAACAAATTTGTCCATAACGGGAGCTGTGCATATAGCAGATTCCATAACGCGCTGTGGGTGAAAATTTCGCCCACTGCCGAATTCGGCAATTGCGTAGAACATATACCAAAACATTTCCTCCGACTTATAATTTATGAGGGTTATTCCACCTACACAATGGCATTTCGGACACTGGCGCGAGGCCGAAGTGCGGTGCCTTAGTTGCTTACCTATCTGGCGGCGCTGGATAGAAGTTCCACGTGAACCTACATGTTAGACAGGCTGTCCCAAAAGCGGTCTACACCCCCCCCCCCAACTTGAACTGTAGATGTATTTTTTCGAAAATGAGTGTTAGACAAATCAAACGGAAACACTTGAAACATAACACAATGCTATATTAAATATTTAGCTGCTACAATGACCAGGTACATCAGGAATATAAAAGTTATTGCTCTAATCCTATGTTAATTTGATCTTTTACTTTTGTTTCTTCTACGATTTCTTGAATAAAGTGTAATACTTTTTGATATAAAAATGACATCCTAAAAAGTATCTCCATTAATTACATAGTAGCCTATACAGACTTGTAAAGTTTGACTTTAACCGAGTCTGTCCCACAGTGTAAAATAAAGAGAGGTGTTTACAAACTGCTGCTTAAATTGGCAAGCAACTTTAAATAGATTATGTGAGTCTAATAGGGTAGGTTCCTGATTTGGGTGCCAGCGCACTTTGGAACAGGAGGCCTCGAAAGGGCTGTAGGAGGGACTTCGTCAGCCCCAAGCCTGCCCTAGGAATTGCTCCCTTCATTTTCATGGCCCAGATTAAAGACTGGATCAGAGAGAGCTCGTTGGCGGCGGTTATTTGGAACCGAGGAGGATGAAGCAACTTAGGCTAAACAGTCCTATCCTTTATAGAGAGGAACGGACTTTGAACCTAGTTGCGAGGGGATAGGATGTAGGCACAATGTGGCTTTGGTGTGCCATAGTACTGCCTAGCCGAGGTGCCCTTGTGAATAGAATAGAAGTAATATTGTGATCGATCCAATGTAAGAGAAAGACAGTCTGTTTCCAGGTCTTAGTGAGGTCTGGTGTTTTCCTAGGACAATCATGATCACGCGCATTTGTTTGGAAACGCGGGGCAAACCAAATTGGATAGGTAAACATTTGTACAAGATAAACTGCAAAGGACCAAACTTCCTACACAAAACTCCGCAACAGTAAATGTATAGTAATCATCTTTTAAATATGAAGCCTTGAAATGACTGGGTTGTGTTGTGTGTGTTATCTTTGAATGCTTATAATACGTAAATGGGTTAAGATAGATAAATGACGTCCTGGAGTTTTTTGTGGAAAGTTACATGGTGCATCAACCTGTGCAAAAAATAGCTACTTGTACTTCAATATTTCCTCGCCAGTAATTTTCCTGACTCTTATGTAAAAGTAAGTATTCCAATTTTCCATACCTTTTAGAGTTAATACACCTTATATTAATTTACACTGTGGTCTGTTCCAAATTTTAGTGTTCATTTAAGGTAAAAGTCTTATTACCACAGTTAAATAACTTACCTGTTTGCAGGTTTGCATATTCCTAAATGATCCTGAGGAACTTCAAAATATTCTCCTATTGACGGATTTCCAGAATGTGAATCAACAAATAAAACATTAAATTTAATCGCGGTTACCAAGGTAGACTTTGTTTCAACAAAACTAAGCACTTTCAATGGAACCTGTTTTATAAATTGTAAGAAATTTTCCTGTATTTTATACAATCCTTGTGAATCTAAAATAAATTTAGATTAGCATAAAACAACGTGTTCAACGCAGAGATTTTATTAAAAAATGCTACCTTCACGCAATTCCTGTATTTCAACTGATGGCCACAGTAACAATGAAGCAGTTGCATTCAAATTAGCTATACGCGATCCAATGTGAGGAGTACTATAAAACACTATACCTTTTGAATTTAAACATAACTTCCTGGCACGCTTGGAGTTGCTTTCCCATGCTGAAAGAATAAGTACACTGTACTTAGTTCCAATACTAACAATTAATATGCTTTTGATGCAAAACGTTAGAAATGTGTTAGAAAACGTACCACGTTCCATAATTGTATAGAAAATTTTGCATTTTATTGAAAAAGCATATTTAAACGTAGTCCACAATACTTTTGTGGTTTAGGTAAAGTCACATGAAAGACAAAGTAACCTAGCATCGTTCGTCTGTAATTTAATTATTTAAATGATTGAACATAAATAACTAGCAGTTCATTTATACTTATATTCATAAATTAAGTAAAACTGGACCTATGATACATACTTCTGGTATACCTTTGGTATATATTAAACTCAAATCAGTATTGTTATGTTATGTACCTACCTATCGCGCTAAACAAATACATCAATCAAGAGGATTAAGAGACTAACCTTTCCATAGTAGATTTTTAACAATAAGCCCTCCCATTGAATGTGTGATCCATATTATTGGTCTATCGCCCACCCCAGCTTGCAAAAGGCTAGTTAGAAATTCGTCGCTTCTTTCGTCAATGGTGCATTTTTTTTGTTCGTTGGGACAAATTTTTGCCCATAATGATAAGCTGGTATCATAATTAATGCCTAATATTCGTAGATCACTGCAATCGTTCGGTAACCAATCTCTAGGCCAACATGATGTATGTGTACAGCAATCTTCAGCTGCTTGAGCGATACAGTCGTTATTTCTACAAAATTTTAATTTACACATAAGAAAGTAAAATGTTAGTTAGAGCAAAAAAAATTGAATATATTTTTATTTATTTATAGAAAGTAATACACACCCACAGCAAGTGTATGGACCTTCTGCCTCAACATTAGTGGCTGTTGGTATGTCATTCAACACAAACTCAAAATCTTGTCCAACCTGGTCCCATTCATATTGATCTTTAACTTCTGCATCTTGAATATACTCTCTTACTAAAGGATCACTTGTTCGAAGCAGTTTTGACTGTACATCCGTTACAGTTCCTAAAACAGAGTTTGGCTAGAAGAAAACGCAATGGTTTTATTCTCACTTCTAAATATTGAGGTACTAAACAATCCACTAAACACGTTAGCTCTCCTTTGTCGCCACGTGAAAAATACTCCTCCCAACAATCCATGTACGAATATTACATCAACTAATGCTTTCTGGTCACAGTGATATAATGGGTGTAAGATGTGCAACGAATTTTGATACATTGCCCTGTTATCATCTAGATTCGATAAAATCTTGGCGGCAGTACTAGACAAGCGAATATCATTGTCATTGAGCCATTTTGACAACACAGTAATCCATCCTGTAAGATAAACGGCGGTAAAGTATTGATTGTACTACGGTTAAAAAATATGTGATCCTCAAGCGGTCAGGACTTACATGTCATAGACAGTATAACATAATGTTGCTTCTTAAAGAACAAAATTGCAATAATAGTCCGGTCAAGTTGGCATGAAAAATAGGGGTACCCTTGCATAAGAAGCTGAAAATTCACATGAACGTTAGGGATACCATTATAATAAAATTGTGAAAAGTCCCCATCGATCCCATGTGTGCACAAAATTTTATTCAAGGTCAAAGTTCGCAAAAATGGGTTTTCTGAATTTTTTAGCGAAACGGTTAGTTTTATGATAAAAATAGTTCAGACAAAAATTGTAGATCATGCAATTATTATATACGAAAAATGTCCTTACACTTTTTCTCCTAAGATTCAGTACCTACTTCTGAGAAAAAGCGATTCCAAAATTTACTAAAGTTGTATTCTCTATACTCTGCACACGTTTCCACGCCACCTATGAGGTAGCTTACGGCCCGGCGCACATTGAGACGCACGCGACACAACCCACGGCAACACACGCTTTGTGTACTGTTGAAATTACTACACAATCTGTGTCTCAGTGTACTGTGTAGCGTCAGATATGAGTCACGTGGTATCGTATATTGTGCTACAATCGTGTTTACTCCTTAATTCCGATAGAATACAACGCGTGCGTGGCCGTGGGTTGTGTTGCGTATGTCTCAATGTGCGTCGGACCTACTTGACGCGTTTTTTTAACGTGGTTTCTCCAGTAGGCCTACTCCACGGTCCATTTTATTTAATCTTCGTAGAATAATAGGTCTTCTCATTCAATTTATTCTTCTTTTGCGTTTCTCTTTCTCCATAAACTTCTTGTTTTTCTTCGTCTTTTTCCTGAGTCGACGTAAATTGTTCAAACAGTGATACATCAGGTGTTTCGTCGTCGATGTAAGGATCAATGTAATTAATTAATTAATGTAAATCAAGCCTCTGCTCACAAATACATACACAAACATTATGTATTGTTGTGCGGTATTTGATACTGTTATACTTACTGGTACTTACTTATTTTAAATGCTGTACTACTTATCTTGTTGTTTAAAACTAGGAAACTAGGCATGGCAGTATTGTATACAATCAAAGTCGTTTTACTCCACCATTTATTCAATTGAAAACATAATAGTTGATTCAAATTTGCACTCATTTTTTTTCATCCTGTTTCATACAGGATTGTATTTTGTTTGATTAACCGAACTTTTGATTATCCGAAGCACTACCTGTCCCAATTAGGTCGCATAATCGACGTCCTACTGTACCACGTTTTCAATACCAGAGAAGGTTGAAGACTATAATGGCATTTTGTTGGGACCATAACAAGAAAAGCAGAAAGACGAGCACTTATCATTCAATATTAATGTATTAGTGACGCAGACTAATAGTTTGACTTATATTATTCGTCCAATGATGTGCATAGGCAGCGTAGTCACGCATGTTATGGGGAATACAGCTTTAGCCAATTTTAGAATCGCTTTTTCTCAAAAATACTGAATTTTAGGGAAAAAAGTGATTAATAAGAACAATTTTTGTAGATAATTGCATGATCTACAATTTTTGTCTGGCTTATTTTTATCATAAAACGAACCGTTCCTCTAAAAAATTTAAAAAAACCCATTTTTGCGAACTTTGACCTTGAATAAAATTTTTTGCACACACGGGATTGTGTAAAGGTGGGTTCATAGCTCTCCGTTCATCCATTGCGTTGATCCGTCAAACGAATAGTACATTTTGTTAAGGTTCATAGCAATCCGTCCACATTGTACATTTGCAAGTATAACCATAACCTATACTTTATTTTGTACTGTACCCTCCGTCATTTTCAGTATGTAAAAATGGTACGAAAGTAAAAACACATTGCTATCTGGTTATTACCGTGAAGAACGAATAGGCGAACGCTGTTAACGTACCAAACATAACCTCACTCTTGTTAAAAACGGACCAACGGAAACGTAAATGTTCAACTTCAACCAACTTTTCCGTCGTAAACGGACGACGTACGATTTAAAAATTTGCTGTCTTCTGATTGGCTAACAGACAAACGGAAACGTATGAACGGAGAGCTATGAACTTACCTTAAGACTTTTTACAATTTCATTATAATGGTATTCCTAACGTTCGTGTAAATTTTCAGCTTCTTGGGAATTTATGCAAGGGTTAATGTCTATTTTGACCGGCCTAATAAGTTTTGGAAATATTTAGTGGTTAAGAATGTCGTTAGTCAAAGGACATGTAGTAATGGAAAGCTCTCCAAACTTTTATTGTGTCACAATCACTTACATAATAAATATCTTCCGTTTTGAAAATTCTTGATGATTCATGTTACAATTGCTTGAACTTTCCTTCTATTGATAAAAGAGACAAGATGACAATGTCATTTGTAAGTAATGATCTAATTGTGTACCAGAACCTTGCATGTAGTACATATAGTAATTATGATATCAAGGGTGTTATAAGGGACATAACGCCTGAGAGCCTCCGGCTCGAGGGCTGTACATCGGCTGCGGGCGTTATTTCTGTTAACGCCAGTGGTGCTTTCAACGTTTTATGTCCTACTTTATTACAACTATAATTTTAGTTCAAAAATATATATATATTTATACAGGGTGTTTTTTTAAAGATGGGCCATACATCATAATCGTAGGTGTGTGCCAACAGATAATGTAAAGGCGTTAAGTTATTTAAATTACATTGCGCCAATTGTTCTCAAATCTTGGCCTTGCGCTTAGTTATTTCACTGACAGTTCTCAATTTGATCCTTCAAACTGCATCAACGAAGCAGGAACATGTATTCCGCCGCTCGAAAAGGTGTTCATGTAGTACAATTTGTACAAGAGTGCACAGTAGCTGAGTGGTGTGCGAGCTATTCTGTGCTGAGTATCGGGTTTTGTTTGGTTGCCGGTGGAAAACAATTCGAGTAGGTACCTTTTGTAATCTTATACGTTTATATCTGATTTGAATAAATTTGTTGTTTTAGAAACAATTTCTACAGTACTGTGGCAGATGATTCGCGAGGAAGCTATGACTGAAACAATTGATGCAATGTAGGTAAATTTCCCTATGGCCCATTTTAAATAACTCAACGCCTTTACATTGTCGTATGGCTCATCTTAAAAAAAAATACCCTGTATAATTATCGTTCGAACATGGTTCGAATCACCGAACGTTCAGACTTTTTGACGTTAGGTACTGATAAAGTAGCTGCTCGCAATACTCGCGCTACCTACTTAATAATGGATTTTTAAAAACGCGCTAAAATTTACGTGTCAATCCCATTTGCGGAATAAAAATATATAAATGAATTCAATACACGCTACCACATTTTTAAGAGTAAAACCTTTCTGATGATTTTTTAAGGGTTTTCCTCAAAAACAGGCATGTTTGATTATTGCACCAGCACTACCTATAGGTACTATCTTCTGAAAAAAAGTTGATATACTACTTATGATGTATGTAACGTACTAAACAAGTTTTGTCTGTCCGTCCTAATTGATCTTTTTGAAACACTTTTTCTTCGTTCCGTCCGAATCCATGTCTGCTGTGTTAAAGTACTTTTAGGGGAATGGTCCTAGAGCTCTGGAATTTTTTTGCAATGACTAGCCGATACCTTGAAGGTCTGCCAGACGACTATTAAATTTGGCTATCTTAGGGGGGGGACGTCATGAATTGCTGAAATGCTGTTTTTTGAAAGTAAAAAGTTTTACATGCGACAACCAATTGGTCTCAAATTTTGCAAACGTAATACGCATGCCTTTAGTAGAGTAGTGCTAAGTAAAACTTTTGAAGAGGGGAAGTGAACACACGTTCTATCGTTCAAGGTATTCTAATGAAAGGTCTGTACAAACTATAACCTTTCCGCGCGACTCCTTTTCGAGATCAGTGGGTGACCGTCCGGGGGGGGGGGGGTTGAAATTAATTATGGTATTCTAAATTAAAGGTCTCAACAAAAGGAATTAATTTCTACCAACCATAATCCTGCTTATATTTCAAGAACAGATTGTCGGTGGAAGCGGGTACTCACAAAGAGCGATTGGGACGTCTGGAAGAAATATACCCATTGGTGATGTCAAAACTGTAACAACGAATATTCTCCGATGAAAGTACTCTCAAAGGCAAAATGAATATAATGGGCAAGTGGAACGTCAGGACGAGACATATCAATTGGTGATGTGAAAACTATCAGTGTAAATATCTGCAGAATGGAGTGTTGGCGGAAGGTACTCTCAAAGGGCGGAAAGATCATTTAGACGAGACACATCTACTGGCGATGTAAAATCTTAATTGTGAATATCTCGAAATAGTTGGTGGAAAGGGAAAATGCAATATTTCGGAGAATTTGTCTAAGAGCTTGATTCTTCTTGCATTATATAGCGTAGGTTTTGAAAGTATGCTAGTTTTATGTATAGAGAGCCCCTTCCCTGTTCATCATCTACGAAGAAAGTAAACAATTTATGCTTGTTTATGGTTACTTTCTTGTTTGTTGTTTGTCTGTGTGTCACGAATTTGTCACTCGATGTGCACACGCGACCCGATAGAGAATCAAGTAGCGAATGCCCATCGATTCACTCCTTTACGTCTACGGCCACGAAACTAGAAAATTCTTGTTGCCTTCTTACTGATAGAATATAAAAAACAAAAAAACTTAAAAAAAAAACACTTCCGTCATCAAAACACAGAATCTCAACCAAGCACCCAGAAATGGTTCTGTATTTGTTACCTTTATCATGAAGGAACCGATTGCCCCTGACTTGCAACCGGAACCGTTATTCAAGAAGTTATGATAACGGGAACCAATACAGATATCGTTATTATTAGTATCAAAGAACCAATATTATTTAATTCTCTCTCTCTTGTAGATAGACACATTGCACTTTGTGAGAGGGAAGTCCGTTTTTATTGTTATACTTAAAATTTGATTTTGGAGTGTGTTTTAAAAAATTTTCTTCAAATTAACATTAGTGATTACTGGATATTATTGCCACAGATTGTAAGATAGGTAGGGTTAAATGTAATCATACTCATGACCATTTTCCCTATGACAAAAAAAGATCTGTGTCCAAGTGTACAGTTTGCCATGCTTAGATTCAGGCATATATATAAAATATGATATAATATGGATAAACGAGTGGACACGCCTATCGCCAACATTGGAAGAGGGAATTATACTTCTGTCCTTAGATGTGGAATAGGCGCTAATGCGCTTGTCTGTTATTATTAGTGTTATTTACCAAGCATTTACCCCAGTTTGACATAACGGATTGAGGTTAAATAGTTTGTTTTGTTTATGTGCTATTTGCGTAATTTTAATAGTAAAGAAGACTTTTGTATGTATTGTAGATTGGTCGATACCATGGAGGACAGAGCTTTGGCCCGTTACAAATTAGGTTAATGCTTCTTTGTGCCTTCATGAATTTATGTACCTACCCAAGTCAGCGAGTAAGTCAGTGGTTAAATTAAACGTTATCTATACATTTTTTATGACTTTGTCCACTCACACCCACATAAAAATTGCTCCCTAAGTTAATTAATGAGCATTCCATTATCTAACCTACCTGTTTTATAAAAATCCTCTACGACATTGGGATAAACAGATACAAAGGCTAATACATTGCAAAGTTTAACTTTAGTATCCAAATCATTCTGAAATCGATTATAGATCTCCATTAATAATGGTAAACCATCCAGACGAATAATATCATGGCCATTGTTTCCCAAAGAACAATGATGCAATAGGGACTCGAGGCAAAGTGGTAATATATCTGAAGCTGATTTTATACGGTTTCGTAGTTCCGACATTGATTTGTGTTCTATAAAATGCTGAGCTGGATCCTGCAGATAATCACGGATTATAGTCTACTGACTTGCATCGTAATTATTTCCTTTAGGTAGATATCCTTATACAAATAAACATTTACAAATTTACATAATGTGCTCCAAAGGAAATAATTGTTTTGTCAATTTTAATTATTTTTACCATATGCTTAGGAGAGATCACCACAATACTTAAATGTGCTAAGTATAACGACATTGAAAATAATACACTATTACTTTATCCTCAAACTATCGTTATTTGTTGTTCACATTCAACATAGTGCCTACTATGAAAATTGTTTTTATACCAAATGCAGTCTATTAGATTTCACACAGAATTGTGATTAGCTAAATTAATAATATGCAAACCTTCCAATCTATCACAATGCACAATTTTTGCTTTTGTCTTGCATGTTCACTGAACCCGATCCAATTTATTGTTTAGTGCCCAATTAAGACAAGCTTTTACCTTTGTACAGAGTGGCCCATTTTTGACTCTCCGTAATTGTTAGTGCTATCAAAAAAGTAATATAGGTGTTCATGTGCTCTTTTCGCGTCAAACTTAAAACGGTAAAATCAAAATTTGAAAGTATTCGCTCGCTTAAGAGATACAGAGGAAATTGGCAATTTTCTCGGCAATTTTAGAATGATCCTGTATTTTCTTAGAGAGATGCAGGAAAATGTTTATTACAAAAGTTTCTTTATAATGATTGTTGAATAATATTGCCGCTTTCAAAATAAAGTATACAAGGTCAAGTGCAAACGTTATCAGACATAACCTCAGTTTTGTAATTGGAACACGCTGTACATTTTGATCTAAAAATATAGCATATTGAATGTTCTTTCCAAAAATATAGCACACAATGGTATTAAAAAGATTCAAGTGATCCAAAACATTTCAAAAATACTGTGAATTGATTAAATTATTACATGTTAAATTTTTGAAAAGAGAATTTAATATTCTATTTTTTTAGACAAAATATACAGTGTGTTCCATTTAAAAAAATGGTAGGGTCCATTAACTTTTTTACAAGACCCCGTATACTTACTTATTTTGAAAACATTTTTCCGTATCTCTTTCAATTAAGGAAATATCTCTCATTCTCAAGTTGACAATTTTTTTATTTTCCCCGTATCACTTAAGCGAACGAATATTTTCAAATTTGGATTGTACCATTTTAAGTTAGACCCAAAACCACCTATATTATTTTGATAGTACTAACAATTACGGGAATACGCTGTAAAAGTCGAAAATGGGACACCCTGTACATATTAATAGAAAATCTCGAAACACGTCAAATTTAAATCATAATCACATGATTTAGTTTTGTACACAATAGTCTTCCGTGCGAGCTTCGGTGTTTAACCGGGGGGATGAGAACCTATCCAGGGGTGTGCTGGAGGGGGCTCGGTTGGGCGCGCGCGAGCCTGTTGTTAAATTTAATCACGTTCGCAGAGCCTATTGTTGAAATGGATAATTTATAAGTTTCTAACCCTTACTAAATTTACTAATGGTGCCAGAGCTGTCAAGGAGCCTTCGCAAAACGAACAATATATGGGTGGTTTTCAATAACCTTTAATAATTGCTGGGTACCATTTCCAAAAAAAAAGAATTCACAGATACTGTTCGTATAATTTTTTTAGAGATTTGTTAAGTGTTTGGAATTTTAGTTGCACCCTGAAAATCAAAAATGTTAACATTTGTACTTTTTATGCAGTGGTTTTCGTTCATGAGTCTAGAATTTTAACATTACCGTCACGAAGTTTCGAAATATATTAACGCCAACAATAATCAAATTATTATCGATTACAAATTGTTGATGGGTAAAGCTGCCTATATGCTTTTATTTTTAAAAACTACTTCCTACAGAAATCATATTCGAACAAGAAATATCGAAGTCAATACGAATTTAATGAAAATATTAAAAAGAACATGCAACGAATACATGTTATTCTTGAAAATAAGCAAATATCGTTACAAAATTGTACTTTACATTATAAAAAAAGCATCTTTAAATAATTTACAACTGTAAAATAGCTTTAATTTTCTATACAAATTTTTTTACTATGGAAAAAAGGTAGTGTGACGGAAATGTTTATGAAGGGACGGTAATGTAACAAAATTACCAAAAAGTAAACATGGTATTTATTAAAAAGAAAACCAAACTCAAACATTATAAAAGGCATTAGAACACTGTAAAACTAGTCAAGGGACTCCATTAGAGAGTTCAATGAATCAGAGTTTTCAAACTTAAAAACACGTGAAGACAATTTGGTAGGAACTTTCAGAGGGCAAAGTACTCCATCTTGTGGAATCTTCTGGACGTCTGCTTTTTGTGGCCACATAAAATTCCTTTTGGATCTAGTCATGAATTTTATTTCTAGACTATTACCGTCAGCATATAACACCTGTCCTGGATACCACTGATCATCAAAAACGACGGCCACCCAATCGTCTTTCTTATATTTCCCACTGATTTCATTTACTTCCGTATTTTCTTCCCGTGTCGTATTACCCTTAGATACAGAAATTGCGGTGCCTATCTCTATTTTATCTAGGTCGGGGTTGCTACGATTACCTGTTATTTGTTAAGAAAATGTTCAGAGAATAAAAGTACCTACTTTTATCAAATAACTCAAACTAAAAAACGTTTTTAAAAGGATACATTTTTTGGACATGCCAGATTTCAGTTGATACTGACTCGGTGTAATAGCATTATGCGGACAGGAAATGGAATTCCTACACTGAAAACACGACAGTTCTCGCAAATACAAGGTATCACTGTTCGAACTGATCCAGGAAACTTGATGCAACTTCATGGTGTTAGGCAATGGTTGTATTTTCTTATCCTGTAGTAATTCCTCGACTTCTAATATTTCCGCTCCAGAAATTTGAAAGATGCTTGTCCTTTCAAGTTTTTCTTTCATTATTTCTAGAAACTGCTCAATACACGATACATCAGTTCCCTGAGCGACACTCTGGTCAGCAGTTCGTTTGACAAGCCCCCCAACTCCATCTGCAACACTTTTTCCGTGACCACACTCAAAAAAATTCCAGGATGCATTTTTGAGCTCCAACTTTTCACAAAAATGTGCAAACAAATAAAAATTATTTTTGTTACGGTATTGGGTTGTGGGTCCGTCACTCATAACGTGGATTACTTTCGCACGTGTGTGTTCAGTTGTAATTTTCGAAAAAATTGGCAAAATATGCGCCCATATAGCACAAGGATCATGTCGAAGACAAGAAGAAGTGCTACAAAACGTTTGGCATTTGGTTACCCCGTTTTCTTTATAATAGTAGGCCCCAGTATGAAGACTTAATTGGACCTTTGAAGCTCCGAAATGGACACTTTGAACTTCATCAGTGTATTTAAAATTGTAGTTTTCCGAGAAGTCTATTATTAAGCAAATTTCATCTTCTGCCATTTCAGTTTTTACTCTTTTCAAAAAGAGACCCTGGTGATAAATGCGGTAAGAATGTTGTAAAATTTTTGGAGTTTCGTTATTAAAAACATTGATCAATTCTTCAGCAGTGGCATTTAGCCTTAATTTCTTCGTCACTTTTACAATTTTCAATTTATCCTTGATGACTCTGCTCTCTTGTGTGGTACGCCATTGATAATAGTGTAATACAGTGGTGGGTTCAACTCTCTGAAAACTGATTTCAACGGTCTTTACTTTACAAATCACACATTCTGTACATACAACTCTTAGATATACTATCACAGCAAATAAATTCAGAGAGGTTTAGGAGAGAATTGATATTGATAACTAAATACTGTCTTAATGTCCGAATAAGGAAATTAAAGTTTGAATGTTTTACACAAAGGCACGTATCTCTCTGTGATAATTTCGGAGTAACAACCCAAAATGGTTTAAGTCTTGTGAATGTAGTATAAGAAACTTTGACATTATTTTCATTTTTAAACTTCCTGTAAAGGTTATAAAGAGTATCAGTGAGTAATCTCTTTTGTTTGGTAATACTATTCTTGGTCAGAGTGTCATTTTTTCCTGGAGTAACAATGGAATTGGGATCACTGCAGAGGAAACTTTGTACCTGACACTTTAGCAGTACTGTGAGCGATTTTCTTTTTCTCTTGTTGTAATTTATTTTCTTATCGTTGGTTAAAAATTTTCGTTGGTTGTACGTAGAGGCCAAGTTTTTCATAGCATTCATCAGCTTATATTTTTTTATTAATCCTCCAGAAACGCATGAAGACAAAACTTCTTTTTGTTGTAAAGTGGTGCACGTATTTTTATTCAACTCGATTTGCTTAGTTAAAACTTCGCCAATGAGTAGTTTCTTCTTAATTTCTCTTGTATCTCCTCTCTTAATAACCTCTTCTCTACTGCTTTTTTTGGAGTTGGTGGCTCATTATTTTTGACTTTATTTTTTAAGTAAAAATATTTGTTTTTCCATTTTACAGTCATCTTTTCTTGCCGCTTCCGCAAATGTCTTTCTTTTAAAAGCAAATTTGAAGTTTTTGAACGTGTACTCAACACTTTTTTTCTGCCTAATTTAATTTTGATACTAACAGATGGTTGTGCGTCGCCGAGTCCTTCAGTATTGTTTTTATTTAATTTCTTTTTTGCTTGGTAAGTATGATTATTTTTTCTCCACATCTTTCTCTGTTTTCTTTGTTCCCTTTTTGATCGCTCAGAAATCGGTTTAAGCTTTCCCTCCAATTTTCTTTTCTGGTACCGTTCACGTTCTTTCTCTTTTTCCCTTTGATACATCATCGCATCCGCTTTAATCCTTTCTCTTTGTCTTCTTTTTCTTTCTCTTGCCATCTCTCTTTGTCTGTCGGAGTCCACGGTCGACATTTTTTTAGTGATTTTCTTTTTCTTTTTAGTTGATTGAAGCGGAACTCTTTGAACTTTTTTTTGTCTCCACAGGAACCTTAATGTTATCATTCGCTAGCCATTTTGATTGCAAAGGACCATTTTTATCGGATACAGGTTGCCGTTTTTGTTCAATCTCAGCTTTAGTCTCCTTTTTTCTCGCCTTTTTTAGTTTAGTTTTTAACGCTTTGTTTTCATCCCGGCGTTTTGCTGCCTGCTCTCTCATAATCCTTAATTTATTTTGAAGTAAAATCAGCCGTTCATTTTTTGGTTTGGTTCTGTCTGGGGTTTTTAAAACGACTCTCACTTCTTGATTTGAAGTACTCGGAATACATAGGGAAAGTGACGTACTTGAATCCATCATGAAACTAAGAAGACTCTCACCTATATATAATATACGATACCATAAACAACATGATACCATCTATACTCCGTTCTAACATTACCGTCCCGCCCATAACATTACCGTCACATTTTGCCCTTTCTGTAAACGTGACGGTAATGTTCGTGACGGAAATGTTTAATTACAAGTAAATAGCCCCTAGATGTTTTTGAAAATGGCAGTAAAGTTTAAGGTTAGGGAAATTTCGTTGTTGGCGGGGTTGGTATTATTAATAAAATAAAAGTATTATGATAGGTATCATTATAACTAAATGGTCTTATGGGACGGTAATGTTGAGAGAAAAAATATTTTACACAAAACATACCTTTAATACAAAACCAGCATGAGAAACAAGAAAACTTTTTGCACTCTTGACATCCAGCATTGACTCAATAAGCTAAGCGAGCTGTGGAACTAAGCAAGAGCGACACGTGCGCGATCTGTCGGTAGAAATGGGCAGCTAAGCTTGGAGTGACGGTAATGTTAGCATTAATGGGTTTATTTAATATTATTTTAAAAAATAAACAAATTATTATTACCTGGTGTTTTAAAATATGAACTGAGTAAAACAAACGTTACCAGAATATAAAACAATATTTACTTTTTGCAATTAGGGTAATATATAATGAAAATTTAAAGCGAAAGTTAAGAAGTTCAAAAAGTTGACCGTGACGGTAATGTTAAAATGGAATTTTAAAAATAAAAAAAAATCACAAACTGAAATTTGTGTTTACCTTTTTTCTATTAATTAGTATACACAACAATGTCTTAATGGTAAAAAAAATAATATGCTTTGATACCGTTCTAAATAAAGATTTGGTAGTGCGGTATACCTAAAGTTAAAGGTTATTGAAAAAGACCCTAATACCTGTCTTGTCTCAGACTGAAGATTGCAACTCAAAACGAAATTGGCGAATTTTCTTGCTTAAGTAGGGTTTAAAGTTTAATATTTTCCAAGAAGTGTAGGTACGTTTGTGTAAAGTAGAATTCTAAGTAGTAGTCTAAAAATAAGAAGGCATCTATTGTTAATTGTTACCAAACACGTTCAACTTTCGGCGCTCTTTAATCTTTATGACGACTTTATACCTAGAATTAGAAAGGGCAAAGGACTCCCTTGAAAAAATACTTTTATTATTACACAGAAATTGTGAGTAATGGGTATATAAAGTACTTTACGCATACGACAGAGTGACAGACTAAAATCTAAAATACTATTACATATATTACGCACCAATGTACTTTTTTAAAGTAAGTAGCCTTAAATTTCCGCCTGTCGTAGAATCGAAAATAGATTCTTTTCGTCCTTATTGGCTATATTTATTTTTAAAAAAGGAGAGATTTGTGAATAGCAAAAGGGGCCCCTTAAATCGGGAGGCCCGGTGCTAAAGCACCTGTAGCCCCCCCCTAAATCCATCACTGCCAACCTTACAATCCCGTTCTCTGGCTAAAGAGGGCCAGGAAGCCCTGAGCAGCCCGCCTCCGGTATCCCTGTAGTCAGGGGTGCCGGAGGAATGAAACACGTTGGCCTTTTTCCTTTTTTTCCATTACGTACTAACCAAGGGCTGAAGAGGGCACAAGTCCTGAGCAGTCCGCCATTCATCTAATACTAACAATTAATGTATCATATACCTGTAAGATGTTAATAAACGTATTTTGATTGATTGATTGATTGAAGTGGAACTCATTCTAACCCGGCTTGCTAGTAGGGAAAGAATCACAAAGCCCAGCGCTGTTCTATAGCCTGGCGTAAAGTCCCCGGTTACCTAGTAGGGGCACCGAAACGGCACTCCGCCATAGCAAAGCGTACATGTCCCCATCACCCACGACGCCGAGAGCAGAGCGGAAGGCTCGCCGCAATGCGATAAGGCATGTGCGCCAGCGGTCACCGATGCCACGACTGATAAGCCCACTACCGCCGTCACCGGTCAAACGAGCACCGACGCCCGTCCGTTCAGCGTGGAAATTGATACCAGTCGAGGCACCGACACCTTACGCCAGGGTTGCATTAAGCCGTCTACCGAGCAACGATCCACGTAGAAACATCAAACGCCATCGACACCTCATATTAACCACAACCGCCAAACTAACTAATTTTCCGTCATCGTGACGTTTTATGCGGTGGTTCGCTTATTGACCCCGTAATGTACTACAGTTTTCAGCCCTTAAGACATGTAACTCGTCAGTTTTGCTCTCGGCTTATTTGTATTCCCCCTAGGATGTATTGGCTTGGATAATTTTTAGCATTAGAAATGCTTTTGTTTTGTATGGATATGAAGTTACTGGTTAGTCGAGCAGAAAAGAAGACAACTGGTGTCGCATCAAGTGATGATTGTCCGGTACTCGACTGCAATCGGTAGATTCAGGAAAAGTCGCGGATACTGTCGATACGGTACTTACTTAACAGTACGCAGGGGTTTTGTTAATTCGAATCTAAATTTATCGCATATCGCCCTACACACATGTTACTAGAGTGGCGGTACGTAGTGCGTATGTCTGCCACTATCCACCATAAACGCTAATTTTCACACAGTATCCAGTCGCGCATTTGCCTTCGCCTGTGAATGTAGTTTTATTGTAACTATTATACCAATTGTGTTGCCTGTTGTTGATTGTGATCGCCATAACATTGACAAATATTATGTTTTAGTCAGTGGTTACCTAGTTGTTATTAAAATGGCTAAATCAGTACCAAAGAATAGTATATTAAGATACAAGTGTATAATCAAGTCTTTAAAGCACGCGCAACGAGTTTAAGGGCACGACGCAAAGCGGAGTGCCTTTAACGTTGCAAGTGCTTTAAAGACCAATTATACACGTGTATCTTATAGTATTTTTTATTATACCTGCAGTATAATTTAAAAATAGGAAATTCAATGAAATCATATTGACGTTATACTCGAATACATGTCTAATTAAGTGGGCTGGGTGTTCGTATTTTCACGATTGCCATGGAAATGTCACTTGACGTTTGCTTATAAAAATCATCGTCTTTGTGAATTAAACGATTTCCGTCTAAAAAGATAATACACCGTCCATTAAATCGCTTGTTGTAAAATCTAAACAAACGTTGGTAGGTGTAAAATCTCAATCCAGTAAAGCCTATTATCAAGCATATGAAAAGTTGTTTCCACGGATGAATAGGAAGATACTTACAAATAAAGTCTTAAATGCATCAATAATGCTGGCATATATGAAGGAAATGTCAAAGGTATTTAAATCTTCTATATTTTGGTGCATTCATTCAAAACCTTAAAGCAATGCTGCGATTAAAAAGTGGAACAGATTTGGAAGCATACCCTAAATTACGCGCGTTTGTGAAAGCTTCAACCGAAGGATAGGTACAAAAGCCAAAGAAATGTTCTGCATTTACAGAAAGCGACTTAGGAAGATTTTTTATTTCACCCAGATAACAGTTTCAAAAGTCATGCTTGAAGTATCGTTACTTAGCAACTTTAAAGCACGTGTGTTTTAAAGGCCCTTTTTCGCACGCATTTGAGTGTTTAAAACGGAGATTGTGATTCAGGTATAATAAAAAAGACTTTACAGTGATGACTATATTAAATACGGGTTTACATTTATTGAGAAAATCGGTAGTCATTTACCTCAGTGTATTATATATATATATTTGTCATGCAGTTTTGAGTAATGACGCAACGACCTGGACGTTTGGAAAGCCATTTGACTACAAATCATGCTGCCCTGAAGGACAAACCTACTGACTTTTTCGTTTCTTTGCCTTAAGAGAATGAAGTTTACGTAACGCTAATAAGCCCCCCAGGTACGATCATGAAATTGATAGAAATGGATAGAGGACACCTTAACAAAGCATCTTCAATAACAAATCTGCGGAAGAGGTCCTAAATTTTCCACAATCTTAATTAAAAGTTCAGTTCATTTCGTCGAAAGTGAGGTTATATTACTTCAAATTTCTTCGAAACAATAAATCTTCTGAACCTAAAGCTATAAGGTCAGAAAACAAATTTAAATTGTCATTGGTAATTATGTAATCATGCCACCTGATTGAGTTTTAATGAATTACTGTTTTTTTCTTCTTCAATGACAATGAGAAATTTAGTTTTATATGTCTGTTATTATCCA